TTTTTAAAATAATAAATTATATGGAGCGAGAATTATCAAAGGCGCTAACCTCTGAACTCCACCAATAATTTAGCGCCTTTCCTGAGGCGTTAAACCTTAGTGCCTTTTCTAAGGCGGCAAACTTTAATAGCGCCTTTTAAAGGCGTTCTTTAACGCCTTTGTTTTACCAGTGTAAGGAGATGAGCTCCCTAAATATTGCACCGATAGGGGACAGATGTTTCACAACATTAAGGAAGCTCGTGGCAGTGGCTGCGCTCCCATCAACCCATATACAAGAGGCAATTAATATTCTAAGGCCACACTCGGAAGGCACCATGTACTCACCACTCCTTGGTCGTGTTCAGAGTGTTTGGATTGACGGAGGCGGGCCAGAGTGGTTCAGCTGCTCCAATACAAGAGCTGGGTGTGATGCGGCGCTCCTTCACCTGGCGACTTTGCTTATGAAGGAACTAACGACTGGGCATCCCCGGCCCACAGCCTGGCAGTTCATTGGTGTGTCTCGAAACAGTACAATGTGGACTATTTGTTCTTTCTTCCTGTCTTTTGGACTAATGCGACCTGTCCCTTTTCAGTGGGCATGAGGAATGCTGATTTCAAAGTGAAAGTAGCTGCCGACAATAATGGTCCCAGGCGAGCAAGACCCAATTTAAGGGCAGATGTTCAAGGCACATTCTTGCGCAACCTTGTCACACAAGTGCAGTCGGACGCACTTCCTTTGCCCAGCTTCATGGATAGGGGAGAGGTTGTTTTGAAGGCCATGGTGAAGGGTTGTCAGGCTATCACCTTCATGAGGGGAAATCACAGTAAGGATTCCCCGTTTGTTTTGTTTCAGTGCTGTCAATTTTAGTTCACAAAATTATAGTTTGAGGAGCTGTTTGTTTAAATCCTAAAGTGGTGCTTTGTTTGGCAGACAATGCGGCTGCACCTCCTGTGGCACCTGCTGCTGTGCCAATGCAAGCTGCAGTCCCACAAGCTGATGCACCTGTTCCAGCTGCAGGACTTCAACCAGCTCCACACCAAGCAGCTGCAGCTGTCGCACCCATGGATCTTCCAGTCCAACAAGCTGCTCCTGTTCCAGCTGCAGGACTTGAACTAGCTCCACACCATGCACCTGCAGCTGTCGCACCCATGGATCTTGTCACGGTAGAGCAGGGGTGGTGGCACACAAAAGGCAGAAATATTTTGGCTAAGTCTCTCAGGTGGTTGGATTAGTGATTGACTTTTTAAATTAAATTGATGTGGGCGCCAGGCCAGCAAAATTAAGGTAAAGATGGGTCTTGAATTTGATAAGATTTATGCCGGCCATCAATCACTGAAGATTTTATAATAATTTTATAAAACTATTGAATATTTTATACACTTCTATTTTATTTTAAAGTATTGAGTCGAGCAATGAGAAAGAAACAAGTATCAATTTATATAGAACATTCAAACGTGGTGCTCGAACCCACTAATCAAATCAAACAAGAACAATATCATACAAAATGATCATACAGGAATAATACTCAAATTGAACACAATTCACACTCAAAATTATACACAAAACATTTTAACAACAGTTACACTACTAATTAAACATCAGCAGATCTATACAATATATACTGACAGTAAGCATATACCACAATTAAACATCAATATACATACAATTAGACACTTTCAATAAACATTCACAATAGCCATATTTAAACAAGCGACAAGCCAATACTTTAAGGAAACTTTTCCGCAAAGAGCATAATGAAATTACATCCACAATAATACAAGAATTATAGCCATGATTCGAAACAAATGCAAACACCAATAGATTTAAATAAACAATTGTAACATACCAGGATACCTAAAACCAAACCATTTTGACTGACAGATAACACAAGATTAGAAACGCAAAAGTAGCGTAATAAAACACTCTCAAAATATTTGAGTATATCAGAACTCGCTGACCACACTTTGCAATATTCATGACACAGTCGAAGGAGGAACAGACACTCTCGTGAACATTGAAGTACAACCACAGACAAAACGTGGACAAAACAACCATTCTCATGTCGACACTTCACATAACACAGTAATCATCATAACACCATACACAGGGTGAAAAAACAACAAGGAGAACAAACTGCGTTAGACTGGTCATAGGAAATCAGAGGGTCAAATGGCAGGCAGGTACAGGCGTATGAGTTTCATGGTTACAATGCAAACAAGCAGGCCCGCCCTTCCGCCAAACGGAGTTGCCAGCTCCACTTCGCTGCGCCGGCAACTCCGTTCGGCAGGGGCCGGGCCTGCTTGG